TTTTACAACAATGTCAAACAATGTCAGAACCTTTCAGAAATAAGCAAAATGTGCAACCACGTCGTTTTTTTTTTAATTTTGTTTCATTGTGGACATATTAATGGACACCAAAGGCTGCACTAATGTGTAAATTTGGAGTCGTTTTGTTTTCGGGGAGGGAAAAACTTCATTTACATGACTGCATTATCTGCTTACATCGACTATAGTATTATCAGAATAGTCAATTACACTTCCGGTCTTGTGATGCTCTTCAGAGGAAACTTGATTGAAGGATTACAAACCTGGCCAGTTGTGACTGCAGTATGTGTGTGTGTGTGAGTTGGGTTAGGAAAGCGGCTTTGGAAGAGTGAGGGTAGCATCGATATGTTTGTAACTGCACAGACCAAGCACCTTTAAAGAGCGATGTAGAATTAGGGCATACTACGTAGCTATTTCACCCGTTGGCAACATACACATTTTCCTCCTGTATTTTGTTCTGTTTCGAGCATTTACTGATATTACACAAGTGATGCATGTGATTACTAGTTAACCAGAGACAATCTTGAGAACGAAACCCTTCCCCTTTTGTTATTTGCTGTTTCGCAAAGCCGATCTCATGACCAGGTCTCCTCTCGCAAGCGAGCCTTGTGCATTTCATGTTTGTTATAGCAACAGATCTGCGGCGGTGGAACAGGCTGAGGCAGAGCTGTGGTGCATGGGAACGGACAGACTGGCAGTGTATCTGTCTGAACTGAACAGTCGCATGTTTCCTGAATTCTGCGTTTGAAGAAGACGCCGGCGCAAACTAGAGATGGCATCTTTGAGCCTGGGACTCAATTTATCTCGGAAGAAGGGCGCATCTAGGAATGGAGCAGTGGAAAGGAAGAATCTCATTACAGTCTGCAGGTACAACATAATGCTTTGCAGTTGGCTTAACTATAAGGGCTGTTGGAAGTGTTGTTTATGCAGTCAGTATAGGGCCAGTAGTATAGGAGTGTATACAGAAACATAATATACTGTATTGTTTGTGGGCTGCCCAGTGTTTGTCACGTAACAATATTCAAGTCAGCATATTCTTTAACAATGGATACAGTTAGCGCATACAGTACAGTACAGTACTGTACGTGTGTATCACCTTAAAAACGCCCTGAACTCAGTTTAAGTGCACCGTAAGGTCACAACGCGTGACATACAACGCAGTTATTAAAGAATATATCATAAATGTCAAGGCAGAATTTACAGTTCTCCTTTTTAGTTTTGGTGTCAATTGATGATTCCATCATATCACACATACTGTAAGTCTAAGAGCGGTATGTTGTTTGTCTTAAATGCACGTGTTAAATACTGTCAAAATGAAGTCGATTGTGTGCTAATTGTACTGTAATCCAATAAGATCATTCAGTTTGTTTTGCACAGTTGTAGTGAATTGTGCAGTCAGTTTATATTTAAGTATCTTGGCACCTGCCACAGTGGCATTCAAATTATTACAAATTATAGTAAGTCATCACAATCAATCAGTTACAGAAACAAGCAAAAACAAGCCAGACCACTGTATTGATTCCTTTGTGGTGGAGATAATGGTTTTGGTTTTCTTACATCTTAATCGGAAGCCAAAGAAATACCGAGGAATTTAAATGCTGGTAAACGTATTTACAGCCTGGGACTTCCAGAAAGTAACATGTACTTTTGGTATATTTGTTTCATGGTATATAGGAAATAGTATATCTGTTTTTACATTTAATGGAGAAATTGAAAAGGTCAAATCTGCAGACCGCTGAAGAGTGAAATTAAATGTTTCTTTAAATTATTTATGAAATGCTGAATGCCTGTTTTCCTTACATTTTTTATGATTTCACAAAAACTGTAGGATAGGCAATACTGTATTACCAACATGCAGCTTCATTCCTAAATTTAAAATAAAATTTAAAACAATTCTTGAGGAGAAAAACTGGGAAATCCCATTGTGAGGTTTCTGGAGCACCTGAAGAGATCTCACACAAACATGAGCAGAACCTGAAAAACCCACACAGGGGACATCTGAGTCTAGAATCAAGCTCAAGGCCAGCCTTGGCCACCTCCAATATAATAAATTGTCCCAAATAACTCGGTTTCCCTTGTGTTTACTTTTAATTTTATTTTCATTTTGTAATACCGGCAGACTTTATATACAAATATCAGTCACGATAGATATATCATATATCATTACATATATCAACAGTATTGGAATAAGGGTCAGTGATTTTATAGTTTTAAAATATTAGTAGTAGTTGTAGTAGAAATTGTATCAATATTCATTACACATTTCAAAGCCATGCCTTTTAGATTGTCGAGACATTCATTTTTATCCCCTAAACATTGATTAAAAACAAAGCCACATTTACAGGATTCTTTGAGAGTCCAAGAATTTAGCAGGATTCATTTTCATGTTTTTCTGGTGGAGAGTAAAAGATAGATAGATCGATCGATACTTTATTAATCCCGTGAGGGAAATTGCAGTGCAACAGCAGCCTGGCACAGTAAACACAGCACAGTGTAACGAAATGATACAATAATACAACAATACAAGTTGTATTACAATAGTATACTGAATTGCACACAGTACAGAAGATACCAAAAACAGTTTAGTTCTAGCAGCCTGGCATGTACATTAATTGCTGAAGTAGCAAGGTGCATTCACATACGTACTGTAGCAAGATCAGTATCTCAACACAGTAATTCTGAAATGCTGAAGCTCTATTTATCTTTCCTTTTCTCACTGTATGTTTATTTTCCTCCCCAAATGCTGAAGCTCTTTATAGAGAAGAGAAGCAATTTAGTTTGGTCTATGTTAGTGTTATTGTCAGCTGTTTGTTGAAGAAAAAAAATCTGTCGTAGTTATATAACGTATATCATAGTGTTGTGCATATAATTATATCCGCTGGTTTCAAAGGGAATGTTTCATGTCCTTGGTGTTTTCCATTTACTGCTCTTGTTTCACTAACATGCTTCTGTTTTGACTATGCTAGTTAATGAAACTGCCTTACAAAAGGCTCAACATGGGTAATCTTTAAGTGGGATGTGTAGCATCAGGAAAAGCTATGAAGAAATATTCAGAGTAAAATAATAATGAGGGGACAGAAAGGAAGATTTTTACATCATTGGTATAGAAGAGGAAGGAGTGGCCACGAGGAGAGAGATGTAGAAATGGAAAAGAAGAGGTACAAATAGTGTTCCCTGAGAAAACCTGTGGTGAATGAAGAGAGGTAGAGAAGAGACAGAGAAGCCTCAAAAACCTCAAAGTCATGATGTGATACATACAGAAGGAAGAGATCCAGGCAAAAGCAGTACTAGAAAAGCCAAGGTCTGAGAGCAGAGAAGCATAGACGTTCATCAGTGGTGTTGAAAACCTCTGAAAAGTGAAGAACAGTTAAAGTAAAGGAGCTTGAAACAGCACGGGCATTAAGCAGATTATTGTCAACAGAGTATGACAGCTTCTGTGGAATGTAAGAGAGTGAATGTATTAGGTTGTTCATGAGTGTTTAGTGAAAAAGTGAAAGCAAATCTGACATCTACTGTATTTCAAGAGCTTTAGAAAGGAAAGGAAGTAGAGACAGGAGGTAGTGTAATCAAATGAAGGTTTTTAAATGTGGCAATTATGGAAGCCTTTTTGAAAGTCCTAGGAGGAATAACTAGTAAGGTCCCCAGAGTTAAGGAGGATAGGAGGAATGAAAGGGAGTTAAGTATGAACAGTTATTTGGAATGGCTAGAGAAGGGGTCTAGCTTTAGCGTAGGATATTTGCGATGGAGGAACGAGGAGCGAACGTCTTGAGCCAAGCAAAGGGCTGAAAGAAGAGAGGGAAGGCAAAGGGACATGGAGCAAGAGGATCATTGGAGAAGGAATCTGGCCACTGAGATATAGACAGGGAGTAGCAGGGAAGAGCTTTGGAATGTCAGAAGGAGGCAAAGTTGGCTGCTGAAGCAGAAATGGAGGAAGACTGTTTAGGTTAAGTTAAGTTAAACAAAAGGCAGCAGGGGCTCTCAGAGGAAGACTGAATTCTAACTGGAAACAGAGCTTTTTGGCCTACATGAGAAAAACGAGATAGGTTTACGCTATTGGAATAAAACCAGTGAGGGCTTTGATTTTCTCCATTTTGCTGAGGTACTGATGCTCTGTGGCTTTAATTAGTTTATTAAAATTAAATTACGTAAAAAATGGCTTTCAGAGATAGGGGCTGCATGTTTCTGATGATATAACACTATTGTGCTGTCCATACTTTATTAAGTCTTCATCTTGAGCCGCTTGAATTAAAAAAACCTGTATGAGTACAAACAGAGAGTGGTTTCTTGAGTTTCCAGATCCAGTCATTGGCTAATACTTTCTCAACACAAAAGGCAGAAATGTCTGTAGATACTTACACGACTGTAGCAGAACGGTTCTAGGCTTGTCCCATATTTTGGAGAGGCTAACAATCTTGTTATAATTGTTAAACTGACTATAATTTTCAAGGCTTTTGATTGTGTTATATTTTCAAATTGCATTTTGAGCAGTAGCCAAAATGGGTTATAGACTTTGAATAATTTAAAGCTGATTGATATACACATTTGCTTACGCTGAAATTTCATAATGAAAAATTGTTTTCATCCAGCTGTGATGAATTTCCAGTGTTAAATTACCCAAAGAAAGTTTCCTTTTCACTTTTTGTTGGCAAAAATAATTTATTAATCTTCACTAATCTGGTTCAAATATTTTTTTTGTACTTTAAGGAGCTTTTGCTTCCCAAGAATTGGTGTTTAGTTTTAATTAGGAATGCCTGAGTTTTACATTCCCACAATGAAAATGTTTCTAAAACAATTTCACTGCAAGAACTTCCAAAAACAAGAAATGTAAATGTCACTATTTTTGTATGCCTAGATATGATACTGTATATAAAACATGATACAAGGTTAGATACTGTATATGTCGAATGTAGTGCTAATGCAGTTTATAAGTTGTAAAGGCATGGAAACTTTTCAGACACTTCAGATGGGGAGGTTAAAAAGAAAAAATAATAATTACAAGATTTTAATCAAAGACAATGTCAGACCTTGGATGTTTTTGACTAAATACATATTTTTTTATTTATGGATTCTGATTTGTAACTTCAGATCACTGAGCAAAACCACAAAAAAGTTGCAGCAGTGTACCAGAACTGTGCATTCTTTTATTTCCATGTTGTTGACTCAATGAGATAATGATATGGGTAATGATGATGATGCAGTGACTATTTAAAAAGTCTTCCTTTAGCTGTTGGACACGGAAGCAGGAGTTTGCTTCGATTTTGTAAGTATACTGTCAAAAGAGTATGAACAATATGAGCCATACACCTCAAACCTAAATATGTTACAGGACAACATAATGTTAATACAAGGTCTTACACCGTTTAATACCTTGCCTATTAACCTTCACCAAGATCCAGATAAATAGACTCCCATGCTGTGCTGTAAGTCTTAAAAGCCTTTGATCGCACTGTAATCCTGTTAATGTCATGTGCCTTTAAAAAGTCCCGGTCTTCAGTGAAATCAAAAAGATATAACACATTCACTTATGATAACACCAGACCAAAACCTCATTAACTTTAATAGGAAAGAGGATTCATACATTAGCTGCATCTTCACCGCAACACATTTGGTTTGATCAAATCTGTACGTGTTCTTTTAAAATATTTGTTTTTTCAGCCAAAAGACTAGGTTTGTATTTCTGAATTACAGGCATTAAATACTTTAATGTAGATTTAGGTTCAGCTGCGCAGTGTAACACAATAAACAGATAATTAAAATGACAAAAGGAATAAGGTGAGAATATGCTGAAAAACAATGAGTATCAAATAATTTTAATATTATTACTGAGTATGCCCTGAATGTTCAATGAGATGAGGTTGCTCCCAGAT